ACTGTTTGTCCTAAATTTGACATGCCTCACACTGAGCGTTGATTGTTCCATTTCCAACTCCATGAGAGAAAACCTTTGCACTCAAATATTTCTGACACCCATGAGATCAATGGAGTTGAGACTTCTACTTGGTGAATTTTTTTAAAGCTGTATGTGTTATGGTCGGTGGTCAGAAGGTTATGATTTGGAGCACACACACACGACTCTGGAGTTATGACTGAAATAATCTTGATAGTATATTTTGACTTCTTACTGACAGTTTGTTTAAAATACTCAGGTGACTAAGTTAGTTGAGACTCAGATTTTCTTTGTGACACGATTTCTCTTGCGCTTGGATTGCTAGAGACTAGCAATAAGTTAGTTGGGGGTTGTGATAAGTGCATGAAAATGCACCCTGAATACTGCTTTTGATTTATATAATATTAAAATATTTAAGCTTTAATTAAACAATTCCATTATTTTTATTTATAATATTTTTAATTGAAATTTGTCTAGTTTTTGTTTAATTATTTATAGATAAAAAACAGTGTAAAAAGCTACACAAAAATAAGTCATGAAAGTCATATTTTCAACCATCCGGAGTCAAGCCTCTTAGCTAAGCCACACAAGCCATCAGAGAGAGAGCCGAGTCAATTGAGCCGAGTAACTGAGCCGGCCAAGTCGCATAAGTCCGCGTGGGCCCCAGCTCTTCCATGTTCCCCGACTCTTCCTCGCGCGCGTCACCAGCACGCCTTCTCTCAGCGCGCGCGTTTCTTTCACGCAAACGTCAGCGCGCGTCCAAGGCTTTAATCCGCATGGGCCGCGTCTGCGTTGCCAGCGTGAGCTTCCAGTGAGATGTCCATTGAAAATTTTGTTCAATGGCCTCTCCGTGTTGTGGGGTTGACAATGAAAGAGACAGATACGTCTCGACTGATCTGAGAAATCAGCAATCGAGGACAAACATGATCTTTTCTCATAAGATTTCAGTATTCTAATATGATGAAACTCTTGTTAGTATGACAAAGTGCATTAATGTTCCGCAGGTTTAAGTCTAATTGATAGCTGATAGTTGATAATTTTTAGGACTGGGTGGTTAGCAGATGTTTTCGCAGACATGTTTTGGTATTTCAATTTTTATTTTTGTTTTTCAGTTGTCATAGATATTTTAACGTAATTTAATTTTTATTTTCTATTTTTATGGTATTTTTAGAAAATAGCTGATAGTTGATAATTTTTAGAATGATCAAGACAACAGTATATGGATAATATGCTTATATTCATATAAATCATTATATTAAAAAAAACGAAAAACAACAACAACAAAGGGTACGTTAACTTCGCATACTGATCTTCTCCTAATACAGAACCGAGGGAGAAAATATTGCTAATTAAACCGATGACAAGATTCCTGATTAGCACCATAACTAATGGCTTTTGTTAATTTATAAAAGAAATCGCATCCATATTCTATACAGTTTTTCTACATATATTTCTAGACTCTAGAAATCTAACACTATTAATGGCATTTTTTTTTCTTATTTTTCATTTTTGGTATTTTTACGTGCAAATAACCTAATTTCTTGATTTCAGAAAAAAAAAAATTAGGTTAGTTTAGAATTGAAAACAATAGCAGCGTCCTTGTCTCCACGACCGCTACAATTTACAACAACTTTTGTGCCGCTTCGTAAAGTAGGGCAAAGTTTATCCAGAAATGCCAATGCATGACATGCTTCTAACGCTGGAAATATGCCTTCCAATCTGCACAACAGTCGGTACGCTGCAGAAGAAAATAGGGATTAACATAATAACTCAAGTCTTTTGTCAGCTTAAAAAAGTCAAAAGTATACATATATATATATATATATTATATATATATTATAATATAATGATTTTAATCTGAAGAATTATTAAGGTTCCGTTTAAAAGGTATACTTAAATTATGATTATGATTTTGACATTTGAAATTCAAATTTTTTATTAAAAAAAAATAATGTAATAGAATCAATAATTTGAATTAGAGTATATGAAATAAACGGCCCTGATTGTTTTTTGTTGTGTAAACTACAATATTATCCTACGCACCATCAAGAGCTTCTTGATCAGTGGCTGTGTGAAACTCGGCTCGTCCACTGTCTTTGAGAAAGCTCAGCTCGGGGCTAACTCCTGGGTACTCCAGCCTGCAATTATTTTTGTTGTCAAGTAATTAGTACACACATACATATACATACATAGAGGATCGGAGGAAAAAAAAAAAACAAACACATTTGAGAAACTTTTTTAATTTGGAAAAACTATTTAGATCATTTTTGTTATGATAACTTAAAAGGACTACATAAAAAAAAATATTTACGTTAAAAAAATATCTTTCAATAGGATACCTTTGAGAAAATATCACATTTACGAGGAAAAATTAGTAGTTGGTAGGGTCATGGGACAAAAAAACATAATCGTTTAGAAACAAGTTATTTTAGTGAGAAAGAAGAAATAAAAGTATTTATAAAATATAAAAAGTATTTTAGAAAATTAATGAAAAATATTGAAATCATGAAATATTAGATCTATGACGAAAGTAATCCAAATACCCAAATTTAATATGTCAGGCGTAAGAGGGAAAATTATCGAATTTATATGACCTGATGATAGAAGCCACATATTGATATAGACTTACCCGACACCAATGGAATGGGGGCCTACAATTTGACCCTCATGGTCCTGCAACAGGTAGCTCATGGCTCCATGATACACACCCACTTCGCCTCTGGTAAGGGTAGCCGAGTGGTGGCCGCTGTCCAGTCCTATCCCTGCTCCTTCGACGCCGATCAACCTGACGTCTTCGTCGTCGATAAATTCATGGAACAAACCCAACGCATTGGACCCGCTCCCCACGCAGGCGACCAAGACGTCTGGCTCGCCTCCCCACTTCTCCAAGGCTTGCTTCCTTGTCTCCTTTCCGATCACTGACTGGAACTCCCGGACCATGCTAGGGCACGGATGAGGCCCTACCACGGTTCCCGTCAAGTAATAGCTGGTCTCCAAGTCGTTTACCCAGTTCCTGAACGCCTCAGATGTCGCATCCTTGAAATTTCCCGCCACTGATTTTACCTAATTAGTCAATAATGACACATATACTTAGTTATAAGATTTTTTTTCTTTTTTTTTAAAAAAGGTATAAAACTCGTACTAATGATCAACTGACAACATCATATTACGCTTTCTACATCTCCATTTGAATATTCCAATTGTTTGATACATATATTTATTAGAAATGATTGCTTATGAGACCTTAAAACAGAAAAATCCAACCTCTCCTGGAAAAAAGCCAATAATACACGATACATATATTTTTATATAAAACTATTGGATTATTGGTTTTTCCTCCAATGATTTTATGGTTGATTGGAATTTATGTGACATCAGATTACTTTATCATATCAATAGTTACACGGGGATAATCATGTGATATACACATGTACTTTATTGTTTCCTACTTGGCTAATAGTGAAAATACCTGAGCACCAAGTAGCTTCATCAAGAGCACATTAGAGGACTGTTTTTCAATATCTTTTGTCCCCATAAACACAGTGCACTCCAAAGATAGTTTGGCACACGCGGCAGCAGTGGCGACGCCGTGCTGTCCTGCACCGGTGGCGGCCACGACCCTAGTCCTGCCCATGCGCCGGGCAATCATTGCCTGCGCGATGGCGTTATTCATCTTGTGTGCTCCTCCATGGTTGAGATCCTCCCTCTTTAAATATATCTCTGGCCCTTCGCCACTACAACTCTTGCTCTTGTAGTGCTCTGTCAGCCGCTGTGCATAATACAAAGGCGTTTCCCGCCCAACGTAGTCTCTCAGCGCTGTCGCTAGCTCCGCCTGTACTTCCCAACCAGCATTAAAAAAAAAAAAAAAAAAAATTCATGTCATGCAAGTATATGGTTATATTTTGAACTACGTATAAAATATCATGCACAATATGATAATTTATAAAAGCCTCAGAATTGACATGTGAATTTATATTTTACGATAGATGTAGTGCAACCCACCTGAAACTGGACATCGTGCAAAACCGACCGGAATTCAGCTTCAAGCATGTTCAAACAAGTTATCAATGTCTCGGGGACAAACTTGCCCCCAAACCTCCCAAATTTTCCATTACCAATAATTTCTTCTATAGTCTCTTGACAACGATGGGTTTCAAATCGTCTCTTTGTCGAAGACCTACCAAGATTAATGAAAGTGCTGTTTTGATCTGCGGGCACTTCCACGACCGGTTTAGCAGTAGTGGAAGTGTTACCTTGAACAGCAAGTGAACAAGTCGCCACCTTGGCAATATTCCCGGTCTTTCTCTTCTCACACATTTCTTTTCCAACACTATTAGCGAAAAAGGAGTAATTGAAACTACCACAAGCCATATTTTTTTCCTTTATAATATATCTATGTAGATATCTTTTCACTACTTGAGATGTATTTTCTTTTTTGCTTGAGAGAGAAAAAAATACGAACTTGTGAGAAAGTTATGTTGTGTGGAATGTGATAAAGTTGTGTGGATACTTATATAGAAGAGCAAGCGAGCAAAAAACCGTAATAATTATTGAAAAGAAAAGTCATTGAAGCTTCCTTGGATATATACTAGCAAAGCCACTTCAGCCACCCGTTTGCCAATTTATAAACGAGATTCACGACAATGGTAAGGTCGTTGTTTCTGAAAACATCACTGTTGACGCATGCATGTCCACTTCATTAGTGGAGAATTATCTGTATACATAAAACACAGAGCAATAATATAATAAGTTGAATTCAGGTCCTTGTCAAGAGTCACTGTCCACTCATGTCGACATTTTATTAATGGCTATATTCTTTTCTTATATACAACAATGTGTTTTTATCCGATGAAATCCGCACATTTTAATTTAAATAATTTGATTCAGGTCCACATTTTTTTAATGGCTATATTCTTTTCTTATATTCAACAATGTGTTTTTATCCGATCCAATCCGCACATTTTAATTTAAATTGTAATTTGATGAGCACGTGCTGGTTTTGAAAACATTGCATCTAATCTATCCCGGAATTATCTGTTTTTTTTTAAAAAAAATTAATTTTGGACCTAGTCTCAACAATTGTACTTTTGGACTGTTGTTTCTGACCAATAATGTTATTTCGCGAAAAAAAGGTAGATCTAAAACCATATCAATACAAATATACACACACCCACACACACGTGTATTACATACTTAGGGTTTTATTCGTCATTTAACTATCATGTCGCTCTAATTAAATCGTTCAAATTCAATGAAAAAGTGTAGATAACTAATTAATTACTTGCGGATTGTAGTAGTTGGCTTCAACTGAATGAAAATGTTGCATCCACTCTTTTCAAGATTATTGATGAATTGATACCAAAAGTTGATATGGAGTTTGAAAGAAAAGAAAAGGCTTATAATTTTTAAAAAAACTTACATCTACAAAGAAAGTTTCAGTATTTGGAGAAGTAATTACTAGCTAGATGATATAATAAGCGATACGTTTGATGAACGTTATCATGCCAAACAAAGTTTGATTGTATTGCAAAGTTAATCACAAAATTGATAAATATCGTGTTGGTAAGTTTCTTACCGCGGCATTCCCCCTTCCCCTTGTATTAAAAAAAAAAAAAAAAAGGTTCCTTACTGTACATATACATGTGAAATTAAATCCCATCAAGGTCACTTACATAGGTCTCCAAAGAGAACCCAGATCCTCTGTCCATTTTGTTTATCTGTCTAACCAATTATTTTTGACACGTCACCGCTTGCACAAGCAGAAACCATTTCCTTCCCCAGGAGAGGTAATTCGTGTCACGTGTCGTGTTTTGATAATTTCTTTCTAAATTTACAGTCAATCCGAACATGACCCGTGACACAAAATTTTTTAAAAACCGCAACACGAACACGACACGATTACTTTACGAGTTGACACGACACGACCCAAAAACGACCCATGACACGAAATTGACCCGTGAATCCAAAATTGACACGAAAATTATATACTTTTATTTAGTTTTTTTTTACATATTTAAAATAACTTAAAATTCATAACACACTAAATTACAATAACATCCATTGAAATTAAGCAAATAATAGTATAAGATTTTGAGTATAACTATCATGATATCACAAGTTCATAATAAAATTTAAAATATACCATGAAAAATATATGTATTTTTTAGTTTTTTACGAGTTTCGTGTCGTGTTCGGGTTAGGCGGGTCCAACCCGAAATTGACCCGTGCTTTTCGTGTCAATTTCAGGTCGACCCAATTCTGACCCAAACTTTTTTTTCTCAACCCTAACCCATAAAATGCATATCGTTTTCGAATCGTGTCGTCGTGTCGTGACCCATCTTATCGGTCCTATCCTTCCCCATTACTTGCTTTTTCTTTTTCTCTCCCGTAATAAATTTTCTCTTTCTTCTTCGCTTCTTCACCCTATCTAATTTCTTTTAGCCACTCCGATTCTCTGACACTTTTTTCTTTCTCAATCTGGAAAAAAAAAAAAAAAACAGTTTCATCTGCCAGTTTTTCCGGGTTATTTTATCTTCTAATTCTTCTTTTTCTTTTTTCCTTTTTTGAAATGAAAACAAGAATTTACAATCCCTTTTCTTTTTGAAATGGGTTCAAACTGTTTTTTTTTTTTTTTTTTTTTTTTTTTTTTTTGGTTTGACACCAACCAAGTCTTTTTTCCATGAACCTCTGGTTTTAACAGAGTAAAATGAAATTAGAAATGGAACAAGGTAGAGATTAGAGACAAGTGCCCAAGAACCAAAGCAAGGGACGAAAAAGAAAAAAAGGAAATCTGATGTATTCAAATTCTAGGGAAGATGACCACGAACAGCGCGCCACCGACGAAGCCTTGGTAACCACCGGGAAGAGTTCCCACTTGTTTTCTCCAATTAGACTTATCGTCTCCCAAAAATTCCACGTCTCCACCTTCCATTTATAATAAAGATAAGAAAATTAAAAGATTTGCAGATTTTGATAAAGTAAGAGCCGATTTGGTTAAAGGATTCGTTTTCTCTGATTCGAATTATAATTTATAATTCATTATAGTATTTTCTTTTATAAAAAATTACGTAAATTAAAAATAATTTTTATCTCATAATTTTAATTCATAAATTAAACGGACTCTAAGAGGTTTTTATGATGAAAAGAAAAAAAATAATTATTTTTATTTTAGAGATTTAAAGGAAAAGAAAGATCAGCGAAACATTTTCATCTGAGATCAATTCTGATCCAAACTTCTTTTTTCTCAACCCTAACCCGTAAAATTCGTATTGTTTTCGAATCGTGTCGTCGTGTCGTGATCCATCTTGCCGGCCCTATCCTTCCCCGTTACTTGCTTTTCTTTTTCTCTCCCGTAATAAATTTTCTCTTTCTTCTTCGCTTCTTCACCCTATCTAATTTCTTTTAGCCACTCCGATTCTCTGACACTTTTTTCTTTCTCAATCTGGAAAAAAAAAAAAAAAACAGTTTCATCTGCCAGTTTTTCCGGGTTATTTTATCTTCTAATTCTTCTTTTTCTTTTTTCCTTTTTTGAAATGAAAACAAGAATTTGCAATCCCTTTTCTTTTTGAAATGGGTTCAAACTGTTTTTTTTTTTTTTTTTTGGTTTGACACCAACCAAGTCTTTTTTCCATAACCCTCTGGTTTTAACAGAGTAAAATGAAATTAGAAATCGAACAAGGTAGAGATTAGAGACAAGTGCCCAAGAACCAAAGCAAGGGACGAAAAAGAAAAAAAGGAAATCTGATGTATTCAAATTCTAGTGAAGATGACCACGAACAGCGCGCCACCGACGAAGCCTTGGTAACCACCGGGAAGAGTTCCCACTTGTTTTCTCCAATTAGACTTATCGTCTCCCAAAAATTCCACGTCTCCACCTTCCATTTATAATAAAGATAAGAAAATTAAAAGATTTGCAGATTTTGATAAAGTAAGAGCCAATTTGGTTAAAGGATTCGTTCTCTGATTCGAATTATAATTTATAGTTTATTACAGTATTTTTTTTTATAAAAAATTACATAAATTAAAAATAATTTTTATCTCATAATTTTAATTTATGAATCAAACGGACTCTAAAAAATTTTTATGATGAAAAGAAAAAAAATAATTATTTTTATTTTAGAGATTTAAAGGAAAAGAAAGATCAGCGAAACATTTTCATCTGAGATGAAGATGACCCCTTTCTTTTCTTGGAATAAAAAGAATATTTTTTTTGCTCTGAGGAGTAAAAAGAATATGATGCTGAACTATGGACATCCAGGACAAAGAAAAAAAAAGGAAAAAGAGACGGAAGTTAGCCTCTTTATTTCTTTGAGATCCATTAAAGTTTACATTGCAACGTGGCGTATTTTAATTCGTTGGACAGGAATTGGGACAGCCATTTTAGACGGAGGATCCCAGTCCGAAAGTTTTGGGTTCATACCTGAGGATTCTCGATTTATTTACGTAGTATCAGATAGCGGATTAATGGGTCGCTTTCGCAATTATTACGTAGATACTACCACCTATTCATCTGTCATATTAAAATGGTAGTTAACGAATGATAATAAAAAAAAGATAATTTATTTATTTAATTTTATTTTTATAAATATAATAAAAGGAGATATGAATATTTTTATGTTGATAAAATTACTTTTTATGTTAATATAACGAATATTATTTATATTAATATAATTATTTAATAACTAA